ATTATTTTTATATAGTGAGGTAGATTGAGAGATTTACATAGAGCAACCTATTTGATTTGAAAGCAAGGAGAATGAAACATATGTTTGTAAACTAAAGAAGGCTCTCTATGGACTAAAGCAAGCTCCGAGAGCTTGGTATGGAAAGATTAGTTAGTTTATAATCCAAAGCGGATACTCTCTTGTTGCTACAAATTATAGTTCATTTATCAAACAGACTAGCAATAGCCTAGCAACCGTGTTAGTCTATGTGAATGACTTAATCCTAACCGGAGATGGTGAAGCAAAAATAAAAAGAACAAGGACGAGTTTCTCGGTCAGGTTTCAAATGAAGGAGCTTGGGGAGCTCAAGCATTTCCTTGGATTGAAGGTTGATGGAAGAAATGATGAAATTTCCCTTTGCCAAGAAAATTACATGAAGGACATATTGCTCAAGTACATGATGTTCAACTGCAAGTCAATCTCAATACCGATGGAGACAAATCTGAGACTGTGTGTACATGAAGGAAAAGATATTAAACAAGAAAAAGTATAAATTAATTGCAATAAGACTATGCTTAGCATGGGCTAAAATACTAGTTCGAGGAATTTGAAAAATTAAAATATAATTGAATGGACAAATTAAAACATGTATTGAGGCTGGAAATTCATAGTCGTAGAAATTGTTATCTTTAGGATTCCAATTATGGGAAATATCCCCCATGTGAAATATGTGGAATCTAGTGCATAATGGATTTAGATATTCTCCAATTAAGTAGTAATTAGAGAGTCTGTAATTTCTTTATTTATTCTTCTATAGGGGTGTAGCGGAGCGGATACGGTTCGGATATGACACTTACCATATCCATATACGCTTTCTATAAACGGATACGGATTATCTTTGGTAAGAAAAAACCTTAACCATATCCGCACTCATCGAAAATGGATACGGTTCAGATATTTGAGAATCGGATCAGATACGATCATGGATATGAAACGAATATTCGACAATTGGATATGAATTAGTACACCTATGTATAAATTACAACCAAATGGGTAAATGTATGTGGTTGTAGGCTTCTCCCTGCATAAATATATGTGGTTCAACATTCAACAAATGGATACGGTTCGGATATCAATTTTACTTGAAGATTCATCAACCACTGGTTCAATAGTAGGTTCAACATTAGGCTCAACAGTTTGTTCTTCATTAGACGCTTGAATCGAAGGGTTAGACACGATTTCTATTCAATGAAATTAAAAAAAAACTTAATCAAAAATCTTATAGTCACATATAACATATTGACAATGAAATTAAAACTAGAGTTTTGATTAGACCTTATGGAACAGACGACGGATCTGAAGGAGGAATCGGGGTCACAGAGGTGGCTGAGGGCGGCGAAGAGGAGGCATGGGAGGAGGGGAAGGTCGAGTGACTCGACAGAGCGGCTGTCGGAGTTCGAGGGGAGGAAGATGAGGCGGAGCCGCAAAGGGAATGACAATGGAGGGAGCACCTGTCGGAGATGG